GGAGACGTTTTCTCACAGATCTTGCTTATCAGACAAAGACTATGTAAGTACCATGCATATTTGCTTTTTAAATCAGGAACTGGTTCTATACACTTGGTGGGGGGGTTGGATGGACGTTAAACCCCATTTCTCTCTCTCTCTCCTAAATATTGAGATTTTTGTTTACTTTTAAACTGCATATATTCAAGGTATCAGGAGCTTTTTATGGCTCCCGTACAATTTTATAAACATGAAGGACTGTACCTTTTGAATATTAAGCCATCAAATTATTTTATTATTTTGAAAATGAAATGAAATGGGGTTTAACATCCTACTGTTTTGCTCATAAATTGGGCTAATGAAGACGGGCATACGCCATACAGTGTGCTATGAAGGGAATTTTGCCCGGGCAGCGGCGCTACAGCCTACTCTTATATCGAATTCCAATTGCCAAGGAATCTTTTACGTGCACGCCAATGTGTACACGGGACCTCGGTTTTTCGTCCCATCCGAATGAAGACGGGCATACGCCATACAGTGTGCTATGAAGGGAATTTACCCCAGGCAGCGGCGCTACAGCCTACTCTTATATCGAATTCCAATTGCCAAGGAATCTTTTACGTGCACGCCAATGTGTACACGGGACCTCGGTTTTTCGTCCCATCCGAACGACTAGACAGCTGTCCTTGTCAGGTCCTCCGTCCTGTATCACTGACAAGGGGAAAACACGCAAAATGTAAGTAACATATTTGTATTTTTAATCAGGAAGTACTTCTATACACTTGCTTGGTAATCTAGTTATTCTTCTTGGGGCAATGCCTAGGACTCTGCTGTTTCAAGTACTTGGCATGCTTGATTTTTGCCAATCACATCCATTGATTTCCTTCAAGTTGCGATAGGCCCTACATGTATGTGTATTTTTACAGTAAATAGCAGTAAAATAATGATGGACAGTATTTTACTTTCAAATAGATTTCAGTAGATTTTAAAGGGTAATATCCAATTTGTTGTCAATGGAAATAAAATAAGAATGGGTCCAAAAATAATTAGACATTGCCAAGTAAATAGGTGCTGCCATGATGTAGTAGGGAGTCTGGATTTGCAGACAATACATGTATGAAAGGGTGAATAGTTGACCTATTATGAGACTTCAGTCCCAAATCTCAAGACTTTTTTCTGACTTCTAACTCATTTGATTTGAGCATCATAATCTGCCTGGGTCTGTAACTGGACAAGACACAATAAGCATTACGCAAAGTTGAAACCAAATAGAGACTCGGTCTCGATGTGGCAAAATAAATTGTTTATTTAAACGTTGTGAACCATAGAAAGTATTCTTATTGCCTACTTTTTATTTTTTAGGCTGGAACACCATTGAAAGAGTATTAGCTGTATGATAACAACAAGAAAACCCAAGCATCAATTTATTTTATACTTCTGGGAAAGAATGCATTTGACCCAATTTTTAAATATTTATTTTTTGTTATTAATGTTAACTTTTCTTCCAAAACACAATTAGATTTTAATTCTCTTCAGAAATGTATGTATAATATAGCAAGTAAAGTGACATATAAATCACTTAGAATTTGGTCAGAAATCATAAAGTATTTAATAGGCATTACTAGAAACCAAATGTAGATCAAATACACCCGGAATTACAAAAAACCTTGACCTACATAAAGGTGACTTTCCCTTGCTTATGAAATGAAATACGGTTTAGTATCCTACTTTTCTGTGTTCTTAGAGTGATTCTGCCCCACACCCTACTCTTATATAAAATATTGCAACTGTCAAGGGTTCTTTAACGAGAATCCGGGGGGGGGGGGCAATGATTAACACGCACACATTTGATCAGGAAGTCTGTCATTGAGTGAAATAATTCAATTGTCAAGGGTTCTTCTAAGTGAACGCAGTGGGGATGGTTTCGATTCCGGGAATGGGGGAGGGGGTGGTGGATGGCCGAATGGTAAGCACGTGCGTGCGGTATCATACGGCCTGTCATTGAGTCAACTGGCGTGGTTTCGAATCCCCGGTTGTACGTGGCAAGGAGTAGGGTTGCCTGTCCAATCTTGTGGGTTTTCTCCGGGACCTCCGGTTTCCTCCCACTGCTAAAGACCCCTATGCGCAATGAATTATTGAAATAAAATTAAACCATTTGTTAATCCCGAAATGACCTAGTTTGTGTCAAGTGCACGTTAAACCCCATTTCTCTCTCTCTCTCTCTCTTTCGATTCCGGGCTTGTACCCAATTATCCCTTGCCATATCCAACACTACTGACAAGTGGGAACTATGCCGGAAAATCCAGTTGAAATTTCTCGGCCAACACCTTATACTCACTGAACCACTGTGGCTTATGACTTGTGATTGTATATAAGTTTTTTGTACATATGATATTTTTTTATTTCAATCCTGTAATCTTGATGCTTTGCTTCTTTTATTTACAAAATATTCATTTTGTTTGGGGTTTTTTTAATGAGGAAAAGGTTTTACATCATTTTATTACTCCTGCAAAATAGTGCATTTTTCTTTTGTTAGTTTTCTGTGTATATTAGTTATTTCTATATGTCTCACAAATCACTTGTAGTGTGATTTTGTAGCACTTTTCAGTTTTTGAAATTGTTTCAATTTAGTGCATAATTAATCTTAGTGCTTGGTTTGGATGTTATTAAATTTAGATATTATTTGAATTATATATTTTGGAGTATGGGGTAGGGATACTGTGTACATATCTTTATATTCTCAGTTCTTGTTTTGGGGTAAAGAACAATTTATATAGCTATTTTATATTTTGTGATAAGTAAAGTGTGTGGGGTTAAGAACAATTTAAATAGCTATGTTATATTTTGTGATGGGTAAAGTGGGGTGTGTGTGTGTGTGTGTGTGTGTGTGTGTGGGGGGGGGGGGGTCATCATATATAACACAATATAATTAGTATTAGAATTCTCTGTTTTTCTGTTAACATTTCAAATATCTATTTAGTTTTGATGTATTAATTTACTTTTTCCTATGATTTTATGAATAAATAATAATCTTACAAAAACAAAAAAAAATTTCTGAAGAGAATTAAAATCTAATTGTGTTTTGGAAGAAAATTTTGTTTCCTTCTTTTACCAAACTTTACAGGTCTAACAGAGCAAAGAGATGGGTCCTGCATAAAAAGGTGCTATACTGTATATATATTGGGGAAAAACACAACACAAGTTTTTGTGGATGGTTATACACAAGTTTGTATGAAACCACACAAGTTTCAGAAATTTCAACACAAGTTTCAGAAATTTTAACGCAAGTTTCAGAAATTTCAACACAAGTTTCAAAAATTTCAACACAAGTTTCAAAAATTTCAACACAAGTATTGTGTAGATTTTCACACAAGTTTGTGTTGTTTGATAAATTTTAACACAAGTTTTGTGTTGTTTCAACATTTAACACAAGTTTTGTGTTGTTTCAACACAAGTTTGTGTTGTTAAATAGCGACACCTTACTTGTGTTGTTTCAACACAAGTTTTTTTTCAATTCTATTTTCAATTTTTCAAGTTACTAACTTGAATTTTCAAGTTACTAACTTGAATTTTCAAGTTACTAACTTGAATTTTCAAGTTACTAACTTGAATTTTCAAGATACTAACTTTAATTTTCAAGATACTAACTTGAATTTTCAAAATACTAACTTGAATTTTCAAAATACTAACTTGAATTTTCAAGATACTAAATTGGACAATTCCACTCTCGCTGGTTCAAAAAAAGGCCTTATTCTAAGTTCTAAATGTGTTAGTTCTGCCTTTAGTTTAAATCATCTCATTAAATTCTACTTTACTAGTCCAACAGTTTTGAGGGTGGTCGGGTGGTCGGTCTGTCATCAATGGGGTCGAGGTACGAATCCCGTTCTCGCCGACCTCAATGACAAGGTGCGGGAGTAGCCTATTCGATCACGCAGGTTTCCTCCGGGTACTCCGGTTTCCCCCTGCAGCGTATTTACTCCCCGCGCATTAGGCAATTCATCTTTGATAGCACATAGATTGGCGCAAATTGACCAGATTATTACGGTGTCGACGTGCCATAAAACACCATTTTAGGACTTTTACCCCCAGGACATTTCCTCCTAAAGACATCTTTACTCCTAGGATATCTACCCCCGGACTTTTACTCACTGGACTTTTGGCCCCCAGGACATCTGCCCCCCTGGGACATCTACCCCCCCCCCCCTCCAAGGCCATCTACCTTCAGAGTTTCCCCCCATCCCCCCCGGTCATTTTTTCTCTGGAACATCTGCTCCCTAGGACATCTCTGCCATCCCCCCACCCTTTAGAACCCTGGACGTTACGAGGTACTTCAAGAAACAATGTAAAATAAATATAATTTTTTTACAGTGTATTATTTTACAGGTTAATAGTACAGAGTTAGATAGTAGAATGTGTCCATCGCCCCATTCCTAGCGTGTCCTAGAAGGCGAGTCTTGGGGAGAGGGTCGGGTGGCCGATAGGCTACGCCTTGGTCTGCCATCAGTGATGTCGAGGGTTCGAGTCCCATCCGATCACTTAGGGATACTCCCAAAACATAAGCAGATTATCGGCGATAACACGTAGATGGACATGATTTACGGTTTCGACGTGCTATAAACAACATTCACTCATTCATTTATTTAGGTCAATACTGCCAGTTTATGAAGAGAAGACATGTTTTTTTTTATCAGAGTTGAGTATCAACTCAATACTCTTTCCCCCTCAAGTTAGTATCTTGAAAATTCAAGTTAGTATCTTGAAAATTCAAGTTAGTATCTTGAAAATTCAAGTTAGTATCTTGAAAATTCAAGTTAGTATCTTGAAAATTCAAGTTAGTATCTTGAAAATTCAAGTTAGTATCTTGAAAATTCAAGTTAGTATCTTGAAAATTCAAGTTAGCTAACTTGTAAATTTAAATTCAAGTTAGCTAACTTGTAAATTCAAATCCAAGTTAGTAACTTGTAAATTCAAATCCAAGTTAGTAACTTGAAAATTCAAGTTAGCTAACTTGGAAATTCAAGTTAGTAACTTGAAAATTCAAGTTAGTAACTTGAAAATTCAAGTTAGTATCTTGAAAATTCAAGTTAGTATCTTGAAAAATCAAGTTAGTAGTTAGTATCTTGAAAATTCAAGTTAGTATCTTGAAAATTCAAGTTAGTATCTTGAAAATTCAAGTTAGTATCTTGAAAATTCAAGTTAGTATCTTGAAAATTCAAGTTAGTATCTTGAAAATTCAAGTTAGTATCTTGAAAATTCAAGTTAGTATCTTGAAAATTTGAAAATAGAATAATAAAAAAAAATATGTGGCCCCATTACGCTTCCGTATAAATGATCTTTTATCTTATTTGGGAGAAATATCTTTGATGCAAGTTTTTTTAGACATATCTACTATCTGTGCTTCACATTTAAGGTCTTGGTCAATTTGAATTCCAAGTAATTTTGCGGTAGTAACCATCTCAATTTTCTCACCATGGAGTGATAAAGTTAGGTTTTTCTGATTTCTTTTGTGTTTTGATGAAATCAGCATTGATTTTGTTTTCGAAGGATTGATTACCATCCCATTGTTTTCATACCATTTAGCAACCAAATACATGTAGAGACCATTTTGGAGATTATTGGCGATGGATTAAATATCTTTGTATGAACAATGCAGGGTACTGTCATCAGCAAACAAATCTATCTGACTTGATTCAATATTGAGTGGGAGATCATTTATAAAAATATGGAATAGGAGAGGACCCAGGAACGAACCTTGTGGAACCCCGCATTTGACTGTAGTAATTGAGGAGGTAATTGATCCTAAACATACTTTTTGCTTCCGTCAAAATTTGCGAATTATTATCAAATCGATAAATGCTAAAATCCAGATACACTATACAACTCATCGCACCATTATCGATAGCATCAAGCCAATTATCTGTCATTCGGATCAGTGCGGTAGCACATGAATGATTTGATCTAAATCCAGATTGGTAAGCATAAAGAACATTGAAAGTTTCCAAAAAAGTTTAAATTTCAGTGCTCAAGTGTCTTTCGAATATTTTTGAATTGTGGGGAGATTGGCCTATAATTGTTCGGATCATCTTTAGTTCCCTTCTTATGTATAGGAATAATTTTAGCCAGTTTAAGGGCACTGGGGAACATGTTTTGAGAAATACAAAGATTAATGATATATGTCAAACAGCTACAAATTGTATACGCAGACAATTTTAAAGTTTTGGGTCCAATACCATCACACTCAATGGCTTTGTTACTATTTAAACTCAATAAATGTTTTAATACCTCTGTGGTAGTAATACAAGTAATAGAAAAGTTGTTTTTTGGGGGAATCTTATCATTTTTATACGTAATCTGATATCTTTCGTTTGCACTCTTGAGAAAGTGGTGTATAGGGGGGCTTAATGTCATCAGTTAAATTAGTGAAGTAATCATTCATCACATTAGCAATAGCATTTAGATCATTAACTGTTGTTTTTCCATATTTAATACTATTGGGATATGGGCAATTATTGGGTTTATTCTGTATGTCACTAAAATATCTCCATATGTTTTTCTATAAAACCTGCTATGGAAACAGCTGTAACTAATCCCATAAAGAAATATTTGCACAAAAATGCAAGAGGGATCATAGTACTCAACAAGGGACTTTTGTCAAATAATTAAGCTATTGTTGGTTAGGGTTGATTCCATACCTTTTGGTTGTCTTTCCATTGAAATATACTTGGTACAGCTAATGGTTTTAATAATTTGTGGCTGGCGTGTTTGGATAGTATAAAGTCGTCGATTTTGAAATATGTGAGCAAACAGACGATCTTTTTGGTGGGACCCATGGTTTCTTAGTTTGTGGGTCCAATCTGTTGATCGCTTTTAGACAGTCACTGTTTCTATTTTCTTCAGTATAGGTATACTGAAAAAATTACATCGCCCAAATTTTCTATATCGTTCCAACCCTTTTTATATATATATAAAAAAGAGAAAATATCCTGCCAGTAGTTAAAATAGATTCTGTAATTTTTATCTTGGAAATATGTAGGCCTATCTATCAGATTACTTTACATTTATGTTTGCTATTGCAAAGCTTAAAGTAGCTAAGTCTCTAACTCAATATCATCCAAAATCTTCGACATTGAAAACACGAATTATTTGTCAATTTAAATCAACATTGATGTTGTGATCTTACGGGAAAAAGATGGGCTTCTGATATCCAATAATTAAGACAAAATATACATTTTACCGTTGGTACACGAATCGTGTACCATGGTGCATTTCAGCGCCATTTTTAACAAGGGACTCGTAGAAAGAGGCTAGATATATTCCACAAGTCATGTCAAATGGTGACGTCATATTCTTATCTGGAGAGCATGCGCAATAAATACTATCGGTATAGAGTGGAATAACCAAGCGCTAGAGATTGCCATTGGATTGAGACTTCTGGCGTATTTCGCCGAACATAACTGATTAGAAATTGCAGTAAAAACAAACGATTGAATGTAAATCAGTTTATATACATTCACATTACATTATTATATGCGTTGCGACCCATTTGTGTCAATTTCTAGATCCCAAATATTAGCGATTTAGCTCCTTTAAAATAGAAACTCGTAAATAAATAGTAAATTCGGATATAATCGGTTGGCAATAACTATGTTTTCTTCTTCAAAAGTAAGCTAAGGCCTACGATATCTATTTAACTATTAAGAAGTGATTTTTAATTTTTATCTTTAATAAATTATGTCACCATGACTTAAGACCATGGTTTCCCAAATACGACAGAATGTAGCGGGTCCCAACGCAGCGTCATTTGGGGAGTGGGGTGGTAGCGGGTGGTATTCTGCTACAAATAAATACAGGTCTTCATGGAAAATAGTAAATACAGCATTAACATTTTCTTGTGCTATTTTTGCATTGATACCTTTTTTACGACTGCTCAAATCAAATCCCCCTTTAAGACATTATGTTAGAAAGTAAAAAACATATCTGACAAATAAACATTGGAAATATTTTCAAAGTATTACTAGTAAAATAATTTACATATCTTGTTTAATATTCCTTCGCACTCAGCTTGGTGTTTAATCTTTGTTAGATCTGAAAGTAATAGTCCACACTATAGGGCCAATATTGAATGTGGAAAAAACCCAATTGAGCGATTGAAATTGATTGAAAAAGATGTGTTGCAAGTGATACTCCCCGAATTGACTATTAAAGACTAAAATATCAAATTTCTCACGGCTTAATACACGCTAAATATATACTCAAATTGATTTTTTAACATTTCTTTAAAGGGACAATAACACTCTTGCTGGCTTGACAGTTCCAGAAAATAAAAAAATAGCCTTATTTTAAGTACTAGATGTGTTAGTGTCCTACCTGTTGTGTAAATTATCCATTAAATCATATTTTACTTGTCCAGAGGGTTCAAAAATATTTTTAAATCAAGTCACGTTTGAAAGCTTTACGTCAGGCTTTTCAAATCATTTAGTTGAATTTTTCCAATTTTTTAAATTGGGTGTGTTAAGATGAAATTTGTATCATCAATTAATTGGAATATTGTAAAATAGTACAATTTGTTGACCAGAATAAAGATTGGGACATATTATTTAGTTACAACAAGAGTGATATTGAGCCTTTAAGAAAATAAAATAAAAATAACAACGCTAGATAATATCCCGGTATGGATTCAATCAGATTTTAACTAGATCCATCAGGTTTCTCCTTGGATAAAAAAATACCTTGGACGCTTTCCTGCAAAGACATTGAATCTTATCACAAGTTTGCTGGATCAAGCCTATTTAGAGACTTCCTCTGGCAAGTTTCTTAGGAAACACTAATCTTGTCTACGATACCACCCTTGGTGGAAGTGGACGTAAAACTTCAGGAACGTGTGAACGGTTTCTCCGCTAACAATAAAAGATGGCGGCGTCTTATTACGCTCGAACAACATAGATCGATGAAATTTCAATTGATCATAACTTTGAAAATACTGAACCATTTTAGACTGATATTCCTATTAGTTAGAGATTACACTTCAACAATATTGTAGTTGCAAGGAATTCCTACAGCGGTAAATGGCGCACCGAGCCTTTAAGTTACCAAAGAAAAAATGTTAATGATTAGAAAAAGATAAAAATTTGTCATTAGTCCTTGTATTATGATGTAACTGAAAACCTTAGACATGTATATGGACATGGTTCAGTAAGCATTGACATTTTTACCACCGTCTAAAGAAACTCAAAGACAGATCCCCGACTGCCACCAACCCTCACTCCAAGGTATCATCTTGACTAATTTTATGGTCGAAAATGTCATTACGATTGAAAAAAAAAAAAAAAAAAATCTGGACCGGGTTACCTCCTCACCGATGCCAATCAGGAAATATAATATTTGGATGAAATGACAATACGTCGCTTGCGCGTATGTTTTTTTTTGCAATGGGAGGTAATCGGAGGATCCGGAGAAAGCCCACGAGGTTGGGCAGTCGAACCTACTCCTTGTCACGTACAAGCGGAAATCGAAACCACCCCACTTGACTCAATGACAGACATTATGATCCAACGCGCACATATTAACCATTCGGCCACCCCAACCCTTACAATATCACAGTAAACATACTTAAAATTAAATATCACAGTAAACATAATTAAAATTAAATATCACAGTAAACATAACTAAAATTAAATAACACAATAGTTTAATTATGCATATTAAAAATATAAAACATAAAAAAAAACAAGGATATATATATATATATATATAGATTGAAATTCTCTATAAAAATGTATTTCTTTTATAAAGGTTAAGGCTTTACAATATAAGCCCGATTGGGCAAATAAATTCTGTAATGACTGGCAACGGAAGTATTTGAAACATACATCTTTAGGAAAATCAAGAGATTAATGGGAATACTTCCACCCAAACATATTGGAAATAATATATTTTGTAATAGGAGAGGAGTGTTTTTACATAGAAAATAAGATTCTACAGAATGGTGCAGAAAAAACAACCATCCAGAAACCAATGTTCAACCTGAAAAAGCAAATTCATGCAAGAAGAATTGGGTGTAATGGTGTATGCGGATACACATAGAATAAATTGCATAATATGCATGTTCAATATGTATTGTATTCTCTTCAAAAAAAAAGTAGGGGATATTTAGAAACAATACAAAACTGCGGAAATGCACAGCTGTGTTATTAGAGGTAACCAGTGTATGTTAATAACAAGCCAATTGCCTACACATGAACATAAACAGTTCATATGGGCGGCTCATCTGACGGCCCCATTTCACTCGCAAAGAGATACACTGTCAAAAGTGAAAATGGACGTTTCTGATTTTTGACTTAATAATGAGTAATTGCTCCACCAATCCTCAGACATTCAGCTATTCGTCGAGGCATGCTCCTAATCAACCATCCAATCACGATTTGGGGCAATCTGACCCACTCAGCTTGCAGTGCCACGGCCAATTCTTGCAGTGTTGTCGGTTGACGTTGACGTCGACGAACACGTATCCCGATCAAATTAAACGTAACACACTAAAGCAGAGATACGCTAAACAGTAAATCTTATGCAAAAACCGATAGGAAAGCAAACATGGATAGGGTAAACCAGCAAACGGCAGTTTTCATCAACCCTTCCTTGAAGTATCAAATTTGACAATGAACCCCTCCTACGTGTATGGCGCTATTGCGTGTCGCACATGCAGCTCAGTGGTTCTGTTGGGGCGATAAGTTCTTCACCTGTGAACATACTCTCATAGCATGTCAAGTGTCAGTGACTATTTATCATATCACAACCTGCATAGGTATTTGCATTTCAATATCCCCTACTTTTGTGAAGAGTATATATCATATTATAATATAATGTACAGCAAATAAAGATATGTTTATTTAAGGTGGTATAGACTAATCGGATATATAGTGGGCTATCTGTAATCACACATACTAATAATCCTATTGTTAGTTTCAATCCCTTAAAGGACAATATTGGTGTCAGTCATTATCACATGATTGAACTGGTTTAACACGTTCCAAACATAATTTGCTACGATAGATGCGTAATCAAGGTTCAACAAACGGAAGTGACGAATGCAAAATGAAAACACAGGCCAATTTCTGCTCACTAATAATTCCTTCGGAGACCAAAAGTTGTTATATGAGACTGTGAGGGGATATCTGACGATTCAAAACAGAAATTGACTGTCACTAGAAAAGAGAAAACGAAAAAATGTGGAAAAATTTCGTGCATTACTATTTTTTCATTAAGTATAGAATGAATAAAACAAGTGAATATACGGACTATTTCAATTTTTCTCGTTTTCTCTTATCTAGTGACATTCAATTACTTTTTTGAATTGTCAGATATCCTCTCACAGTCTCACATAACAACTTTTGGTCTTCGAAGGAATTTTTAGTGAGCAGAAATTCGCCCGTATATCTGTTATCACTCGTCACTTCAGTCAATTATATAGAAGGATAACTCGTGTTTTCCTTTTGTGTTCGTCACGTCCTTTTGTAGAAACCTTCACTACGCATCTATCGTAGCAATCATCTCTGTGTTAAAATTATATTTGGAACGTGTTTAACGAGTTCTATCACATATGTGATAATGACTGACACCAATATTGCCCTTTAACTCTCTATTTCACAAGAAGAAAATTATTGTCCAGTTTAAGTTACAGAAGAATTGTTTCATTTAAGTGTCACACATTGAATAAAAACAATCAAAATACAATTTTTAAAAAAGGTGTAGAATGACGGGCCTTAAAGGCCCACGAAACACAACAAGCATAATTAATCGTTTAAATTCAAAAATATAAAATAAAAAAATAAAACAAAGTGAGAGTTGCTCATTAAGCATGATAAATCGTTTAAAATAAATAACCAGATATAACACATGAGATAACCAAATATAACAGATGAGATACACCAATATAACCAGATATAACACATGAAATAAACAAAGATAACCAGATATAACACATGAGATAAACAAAGATAACTAGATATAGCACATGGGATAAACCAAGATAACTAGATATAACACATGGGCTAAACCAAGATAACCAGATATAACACATGAGATACACCAATATAACCAGATATAACACATGAGATAAACAAAGATAACCAGATTTAACACATGATAACTAGATATAACACAACACATGGGATAAACCAAGATAACCAGATATAACACATGAGATAAACAAAGATAACTAGATATAACACATGGGATAATCCAAGATAACTAGATATAACACATGGGATAAACAAAGATAACTAGATATAACACATGGGATAAACCAAGATAACCAGATATAACACATGAGATACACCAATATAACCAGATATAACACATGGGATAAACCAAGATAACTAGATATAACACATGGAATAAACAAAGATAACTACATATAACACATGGGATAAACCAAGATAACTAGATATAACACATGAGATAAACCAAGATAACAGAGAGAGAGAGAGAGAGAGAGAGAGAAGGGGTGGTTCACGTCCAATTTTAATTCAATGATTCGCTTGTGCGTAGGAGTTTTCAGTGGTGGAAGGAAACTGGAGAACCCAGAGAAAAGCCACGAGGTTGGACAGGCGATCCTGTATTTTTATCACGTACAAGCGGGGAATCCAAACCATGCCACATGACCTACTAGCAGACCTTATTATCGATTCAGCCAACCAACTCCCCACCAACTAAAACAAGTAAAGAAAAACCAGATAAACACATACCATTCATTGTTAAAACAGTTCAGGTCTTTCGGGGGATAGCACAACTTTTCGTCAAACCATTCATCAACCCTAGCTATTGTTTTCGAATATATTTGTAAATTATTGATTCTGTAGCATATTTCACATAGGGCTGGTGTCTCGTATTGATAATGGATAAATACGATGTCGTTATTTTCAACTGTGTCCAAACGTTCATATACACTTATATACAAATCTTTTTTTCTTAATATTTTCATGTAAGCCTCGTGATTTGTACTGAGATAGTGTAGATGATCAGTTAAATCTTTAGTACTGTTAAAATCTCTAGTGTCTATAAATGTTCCAGCAGGAATATATTTTGTATAATTTCCCCCACCTCGAGCCACTAAAATATAATCACCGTTATAGTAACGATAGAATTTTTCAGTTATATAATCCACACAAAATGAATTTTCAAAAGCTAGATAAAATTTATATGTTGAATTTATCATAAGCATAAATTCCTTGTCCAGGTTTCTTGGCCACTGTAAAAGACTACAGTTACCGTAGATATCGATGTCGATATATTTCTGAAGTAGCCTAACATATTCAACTCGTTTACCCTGTGTGGTGCAATGACTGACCATCCAAGCCACATTTTTAGTTTTTGATTTAACAAGCGAATCTAAATCTCTATTAAACAACTCAGACGGTGTTTTCTTTCTCACAATGCCGTAAGGCGCGAAAATATCCGAATCCTCCCTATAAAACATGGTCCAGTTGAATAAATCTCGCCATTCTGGTTTTCTAAAAGCCACATTGTGACTCCAGTCGGGTTTCTCGGGCTCTGTATCATGAAGTATCCATATTTGTTTAGGGTCTGGTCTTGACATCGGTTTGGGTATTTGCATAATCTGAGCATTGAACAAAACAGCTGCAGCTTCTTTCATATACTTTGTATTTGTTGTCATAAAACAGCTTCTCTCTGGACACGCCTTTAAAGGTTGTAAATTTGGTGTGTTATTAACATATCTAGGTGGAACATACCATAATATAATTTTACGTTCTTTATAGGTAGTTTCAATTTCATATTCTGATGTTAATCTACCATCTATATATGTATGAAGCTTTTTTTGATCGGTTTCATCTTTTAAATCATGAAGCCCTCTATGACCTGTTTCAGATGTTAAGGCATGAAACACTTTATGGTCTGTGTCCGAATGTAAGTCATGAAGCAAGTGAACCTCCGTACACGTTTCTTTAATTGGCAATAGTACTAAAGCAAAACAGATAAAGGTGGCGGTCGCTCCAAGAACTTTTAAATATTTTCTGAAAAACAAAGAACAATAAAATGTTTAGTATTCTGAATAAGCATGATCGGCAATGTCATAAATCCTATGATTTGGTCTCGATTGTATAAATTCGATCGCCATCTCGTGTCTCCGTCCCTCAACTTCCCTATCTGATTAAGAAACACATCCTATTTCGTTTCGTTATTGTTCAAATTTCGTTTTACTTGTCCCCACTACACTATGATCTGGAAGAATTGTTAAATACCCCACGTTCTGGTTGATGTGAGGAAATAACCGTTCAAATGGCCTGTTGAGTCGAGTACTTATCGTCTGGCAAGCGGAACGGGAGTTAGAAATTCACAGCGATAGTAAACAAATCCCCAAAAAGTTATATTTCCGAATACCCTCTTAAAGGACAATATTGGTGTCAGTCATTATTACATATGTGATAGAACTGGTAAAATACATTCCAAATAATAATTTTAACACAGAGATCATTGCTACGGGAGATGTGTAACAAGCACGTGAAGAAACGGGAAGTGACGCCAAACATGACAAACACGAGTTGTCCTTCTATATAACTGACTGAAGTAACGAGCGGTAACAGACAAACGATCGAATTTCATTTCACTGATAATTCAGTTGAAGATGAAAAGTTGTTATATGAGACGATTAGAGGATATCTGACAATTCAAAAAAAAGAGTTGTAATTCAATATAATAGACCGAAGTAACGAGCGGTAACAGACAAACGATCGAATTTCATTTCACTGATAATCCCGTTGAAGTTGAAAAGTTATTATATGGGACGGTGAGAGGGTATCTCACAATTCAAAAATAGAATTGGCTGTCACTAGATAAGGGACACGAGAAAAATACAAAAATCCCGTGCATTCCCCCGTTTTTATTCATTCTGTTCTTAATAAAAACATGGTAATGCACGGACTTTTTCTAATTTGTTCGTTATCTTTTATCTACTGAGAGCCAATTCTTTTTTTTTTTTAATTGTCGTTACTTCAGTCAGTTATATAGAAGGACAACTCGTGTTTGTCATGTTTGACGTCACTTCCCGTTTCTTCACATGCTTGTTACATATCTCCCGTAGCAATGATCTCTGTGTTAAAATTATATTTGGGATGTATTTAACGAGCTCCATCACATATTTTATAATGACTGACACCAATATTGTCCTTTAAAAACTAACGTCATAGGGCCACAAGTCACTCGTATGACCCCTTATGCTACCCATAACTACAACCGGTTAGATCTTCTTGTATTGAAGGCCATCGAAAGTATAAAAAACGAAACGAAATAGGGCTTCTATATGCTTCCACACCCAACCGTTAACTATTGTAGTAGGGTTATTAAATAAAGAAGGTGTCAAAGCTGTCCGTACATGCATTGATAGCAATACAATATGAACATGATTAGACACATGAACAGCCGAAGCAAAATACCATTGAATAAGTCTTCAATATGACCATGACACGATGATAAGTGGTAACGAAACATAATCTAATTTCGTTAATGAGTTTTAACGAATTAATTATTTCGTTTAAAAGAATTGGTTATTTCGTTAAAAGGAATTAATTACTTCGTTAAAAGGAATCAATTATATCGTTAAAAGGAATTAATTAATTCGTAAAAAACAAAATAGATAATTTGTTAAAACTAAATAGATAATTTGTTAAAACTAAATAGACAATTCGTTGAAACGAAATATTTAATTCGTTGAAACGAAATAGTGCATTCGTTGAAGCGAATACATTTTTCAAAATATATAAACCAAATAGGGCCATAATACAGTTTAATATACCCCTATACAGTTTAATATACCCCACCGTTCAGTCCTAGTGCAGACGGACAGAAGAACAGACTAATGAAATGAAATTGGGTTTAACGTCTTACTGTTTTGCTCAAACTGGGCTAATGAAGACGGACATACACCATGCAGTATGTTATGAGGCAAATTTTGCCCGGACTGCGGCGCTACGGCCTACTATTATATTGAATTCCAACTGTCAGGGGGTCTTTTATGTGCACGCCAATGTGTACACGGGACCTCGGTTATTAGTCCCATCCGAACGACTATACATTGACCCTTGCCAGTACCCTTTATCTTACACCATTAACAAGGAGGACCACGCAGGAAAATCCAGATAAACTCTGGGCCAACACCGATATCGAATACGGCTCTCCGGGATAGCGAGCCAACGTCTTACTCACTGGGCTACCGTGGCCGCCAACATCCAAAAAAACTACTGTCACAAACTTATATATTTGATTTATAAATACATAGATTATATTACTGATCGCCTTAGCCTGGATTAGTCAAAATGAGATGACTCACCTCGTTAATCTTTTGATAATCATCTTTCGAGTGCGTTTGTATTAGTAGACTTTCAAACTGAAATTACTGTAGCTGACTATCACCAATAATCTACAATTGTAAACAAATTGTAAATATGACGACTGATTGTAGCTGTATATCTTCATTTTTTTTAACCTATGAAATAATAGAACTCTTGACGTGGGGTTTCAACAAGTAATAACCGCCCACTGACTGTGCTCTTTCACGCGGATAAGTCTATCGAATTACTTGAATTACCGTTAGGTTAATTCTATTGTAGGCCAACAATAACATATTGTCTTATGTTTCCGTATCGAGGTCAACTACGAAATAAAGTCAGTCGGTCTGTCAGTGTGGGATCTATTCTCAAAGTAAATAGTTCTCTGTGTGCAGAATGCCAAACCCCCACCTAATTGTCCGGATTTAAGCGCAGCAAAGTTGACCGCACTTCCTATAAAATTTGAATCAAATTCTAAAACCCCGTGGAACATGTATAGGGCCTGCGCTTTGAAAAAGGTAATTCTGCTTTTTGCCACGCGTCCTCCTTGCTTCCAAATAACCAATCCCTTTAATTTTGTTTAAATATTCAAACAATTTCTGTGGGATCTAGAGGGGCGTTGGTGGGGGTGGGGGAGGAAAAATGGGACACATTTTGGGTTGGGTACAAGATCAAATGTTACATTTGATGAACGAGAGATTCTAATTTAAATTATTGAAAATATGAAGCTCATTCTCTGTGCCCTCATTCGGTTCATAATCGGGGATTCCATTCTAACTCCTGATTGTTGTATTCTATAGTTGGAGTGGGGTGCGAATGGTGCGATTTACATCATAAGGCCTGCTATCGAGTCAAGTGGCGGGTGGTTTCGACTCCCAGCTGGTGTATGCTCTCTCTCTCTCTCTCCCTCTCTCTCTCTGAATTAGTAAGTTGGGACAGTCCCACCCAATACACACAAATGTGTAATATCAGTGACTGAGAAAATTGGGAAAACATTTTTCATGATGAAATCGCCAAATCCGTCTTTTCTTGGCAAGTCCTCGCACCTTAAAGTGCACATAAGATGGGCTTGGGAACTTTTCGATAAGTGTAGCCAATGGTTACTATATCAACTTTATTACGGCAAGTCCACACCAATCTGATTGAAATTAATTCGGTTATCTTCACTCAAAGCTCCCACTAAACCCAATCCATGGCCTAAGGCCGAAAATGGAAAGATTGCAAAATCATACTCTAACCAGCGGCTGCCAGGCAGGATACGCCCACATTTTCGAGAGATGGGTAGAGAACAAGCTAAAAAGAAAGTGATTTTTTCTTACAATCAAGGGCCATAATTCAGGAAATTACAATTCGATATGCTCAAATATCGAAAGGAACCGCGATCTGTGTGTTATAAACTTACATTTCAAGTTTCAACAAAATCGGATAAAAATTGTGACTTCTATAGAGTCCACAACCTTGATATACCATATTTTTACGCTATTTGAGAACGAACAGCAACCATTTTTAATGTCTGTCAATTTTGGGGCCGATTTACACGAAATTCGAACCCAGCCATCCTTAGGGTGTAACGGACAAAATGGCCGCCGTTCGTTCTCAAATAGCGTAAAAATATGGTATATCAAGGTTGTGGACCCTATAGAGGTCACAATTTTTATCCAATTTTGATGAAACTTGAAATGTAAGTTTATAACGCAAAGATCTCGGTTCCTATTGATATTCGCGCATATCGGACAGTAGCTTCCTGAATTATGGCCCCTAATTGTACGAAAAATAACGTTTTTAGCTTGTGGACCCTGTAGATGTCATAATTTTTATCCGATTTTTAAAAAAAAAAAACTATTATTATATCACCGTTACACCATAAGGACGACTGAGTTCGAATTTCTTGAAAATCGGCCCAAAACTGACAGACAAAATGGCCGCCTTTCGTTCTCAAATAGCGTAAAAATATGGTATATCAAGGTTGTGGATCCTATGGAGGTCACAATTTTTATCCGATTTAGTTGAAACTTGAAATGTAAGTTTATAACACAAGGATCTTGGTTCCTTTCGATATTTGCGCATATCGAATTGTAATTTCCTGAATTATGGCCCTTGATTGTAGGAAAAATCACTTTCGAAAATGTGGGCGTATCCTGCCTGGCAGCCGCCGGTAATCAGATTAGTTTGAACTTGCCGTAAAATGGATATAGTAACCATTGGCTATAAGTACATTCAATTAAGATTTTTAATCTTACGTGGTCTTTAACTATACACAGTTTGTAGATGACCTAGTGCTGTTACCACAAAATTAAATTAAGGCGATTCGGGCGAACGCGATATGTATCCTGACTGGA